TATTGGTCGGTCCATAATTTTTGAGAACCTTTGGATTTAATTACTTATCTTATTTCTCTGATGTATTTATTCAGCATAGTATACATCACCATTATTACCAACATATCACCAATGCGAGGGTGGGTATTCAGTGTCTCTCTTGTAGAATTTCATAGAGTTCTGATCGAAGAAATATTGGATGTCGATTTTGACTTATGGTGATTCAAGTGAGATTTCTTCTCCAGAAGGTGATTGAGAGAGGAGAGCGGATAGTCGTTCGTTGACGCAGGATTAGTGCTACAAGGCGGAGCTAAAAGAACTGACCAGTCTCCAATTTTTTAGGAATTTTCTTAGCAAGGTGGGCTCGAACGACCTCAGAAAAAAATAGATTTTGTCTTCCTTTGCTTTCAAGTTGAAGGCGTTGCCATCAAGCTGTCAACGATTCTCTTCATCACTGACACTGGTATTAGTTGGTGCCAGCGCAAAGCCCCTCTCGTATTGCGCCAACGACTCAGGAAGTTCGAATTCAGAGGGAGTTGGGTTTTGCTGTCAGAACTCCCGAATCGTTTAAGCAAGCTACTGCGGCTTGTGGATTTGTTAGCACACTGCACCCAGTCCACATCACCGATGAGTATGATGGATGGTCATTCGAAGGAACTATGGGAAACCAATAGGAACATGATGATGTCAGATCGGGTTTAGAGCTGATTCGGGCTCAGAGCATGTGAGAGACAAACTCCATATTTTCAAACCTTAGCGACTTTATCGAGTTGTCTCAGTACTTGCCTTGTCACACCAAAAGCGCTCTGACAAATAGCGCTAACTTTGTTCAGATTCCTTTTCAATGGCGCCGGATAGAGCATCGAGATTGCCAGTCACGGGGTGGTTGGAGTGTGGATCATCTTCAAATAAAAGGAATCCCTGAAAACCACCGGTGCACCGTGGAATTGAGAGAGTGTGCCCTCAGCTATCTTCTGGTTAATCCTCCATATAGCTTGGCGCGTGGAAGATCCTAATCTGAAGTCATGAAGAAAGAGGCTCAGAAGTAGGTTTCAAAGAAATTGGAATTCTAGCTAAAGAAAGTAAAGCAAACGAGGTGGCTAGCCTGTCGGATAGGCGAGCTTGTGTGCTAGGTTGCAGGACATCTTGGAAAGCTTCAATACTTATCAAAGATTTTTACACCAATACATGTAAAGTGTCTCAAAATTATGGACCGACCTAATAAAATGATTATTATGCCTACGTGTACTGTTATGGTATGATCCAATCCACGAGAATGTAGCAGCCTTACGGTTAGTTGCCTTTTTGTAGACGACCAGATCTAAAAAGGTGTGTGAAAAGAGATATTCGGCTTGGGTCATAGATATTGAGTGAAGCAGAAAGGAAACAAGAGAATAACTAAAACATACATATTAGGTTGTCTCATAAGTAGTGTCGTTTTTATTCAAGCAGAATTCTATTGATGCTCCATTTTTATGTAAAGGCTATATCTCGTTCGAAAGAGAGTTTTCGGCACTACAAGATTGTCGCATGTTTTGCTTCTACATTTGTTGCTGATTTTTGAATTTTAGGCCTGCGAAATGGGACATCCAGTGAAGAAAAAGTGACTAGATCGACACAGGGTCAACCCTACCATTCCCACATTTTGGGAATTTTTTGCGACCCCCCCCCCTTCATGGGCAGCTTGATACGACCCCCCCCTGTATGTAACACTTGTGTATAGGCATTTACGAGGTACGGGCCAATCCATTACGGATTAAATAGGTATGGATCACAATTGAGCCCTTGTGATCGTTCTTAGCCTTTGGATTCAGATAAAAGCTGCGTGATAAGAAAATCAAACAGTTCTATCAAGGTGTGCTCCAAAACCGTACCTTGTTTGAAACCTAAAAATCCATAATTAAACAGGGATCTAGTTGGCATGCGTGACATGAGAGAACCGCAACTTTGTCCATGGTTTGGAAATGTAAACTTATAGTTTGCGAGAGCAAAATATCTTAGAAACCGAATAAATTTCGTCAAAAAAATGATACCGAGCCGACCACAGTAAGGTCAGCCGTTGCCTGTTACTTCTTGCGGTTTGTCTGCTTTTCTAGCAACATTTTCTCACCCTCAAAGAAATCTTTCCGGAAAAATCTTGCATTCTTCCTAACATGAATATGTCAGTTGTGATCACTAGGAGAATAGCATACAAAGTTTCACGCATGAAGATTCGGTTTCCGAAGAGAAACAAACTTACAAAAACCACACTCTATGGACGAGGTAAATGGCGCGGAGCCAAAGGCGGGGCATGGAAAGAAGTCCGCCTCGGGGCGACTAGGTATTAGACGACGCAATGAAATAATCGGGTTAAAGGCAAATTGGGCTCAGGCACGCATAGAGAATTAATCCCGTTCCGGAGGTTGTATGTGGGCTAGTTCAAATATCATTCAGCAACTTACCACCTAAGGGAAAACCCCATTAATCTGTGGAGATGTTGAGTCTCAGGCCAGTGATTTATTGCAGACCTAAATCATGATTTTCCCGTGTGAAGGATTTCTTTGATAACTTTCTTTTATCGCGAAGCGTATCGTGAGAATGAACTTTGAGAACGGCAGACAAACCGTATGAAGTGAAAGGTAAAAACCGATCTCAACGAGGTCGGCTTGACTTCAATCCCTAGCATTATTCGGTTGCTAACCATAAGATGTTTCGCTTTCACAAGCAAGGAGTTTTATATTTCCAGCTCGTGGACGAACTTGCAGTTCTGTCGCACACACACAGCAATTAGGGTCCTGTTGTAATATTATGTTTCAAATAAGGTGTGATTTCAGAGCACACCTTCATGGAACTACTTCATTTTCTCATGACGCAGCTTCTGTCTGTCCAAAGGCCAAGAAAATGCGTCAGATGGAGTCAACGTTAGCCAATTACGCTGAAAATTCTTGCGCACTAAGCCAAAATCTTCAGCGAATTGGACAACCTTCGAACTTCATCTGTCGCATCTTCCAAGAAACATCTTACTGTCGGTTTCTCAGCCAGACCTAAATTCTGCAAATTGCCCCCTCTTACTGAATCTTATAATGATGCGCGCGGTAGCGTGCGAACCCAAACTGGTTGGCCTATAAAACTGAAAAAATTGATGATTTTCTTTACTGGGAAGACTTCGTCCGAAGGCAAGGGCCAGAATCAATTTGGCATGTAATAACGAACATAAGGAATGCCGAATGGGCAAAAAAGCGGAAATAATATGACTCCAAAAACGCTTGAAACACGTCTGTCGTGCTCTTACTCTGGCGGAGAAGTCTGACTAAAACAGGCAAACTGCGAAAGTGGGAAAAAGTTGAGTGAAGAGGATGTAGATCCACGGTGAGAGAACCGTTCGAGCTGGTTAACCATGATACCGATGAAACAGGAGCGTGGTTGAATCGTATAGTGCGTAGTGAAGCGTATTGGATGCTAAGTTTTCACGATCTTTAAAGTTGCGGACCTAGCGCTTCCACCCCCGGAAGGGACCACATCAGTGAAACCGATCCTGATCTTTTCCTTTGTAGGAGGATTTACGACTAAAAGCGCGCCAATTGAAAATCAGGCTAGAGGAGGTCAGTGATACACGAAAGAAGAAAAACCATGAAAAGTGACCGAAAACCCGAGAAACAAGCCCCTTCCTTTAGCGCCACATGGAAGATCTGCTTATTAGGTCGCAACGAAAGTCCTGGCGGATTTCTTCAAAGTCCTGACAAACGGCTGCGCATTAACCTGGAGGGGAAATTTTTTAACCATATACAGGAATGGTAACATCCCTTCATATTTCCGAGTCTCACCTCCTGCAGGCCTTTTGGAGCCTGGAAAATGCCATAAGTTTCTACCCATGTACGCCACTGACTTCTTTGCGAATTTTGTATGGGACACACAGCGAGCGAAGCCTGCCGCAAAATATGCTCTGTGGAAGTAGGGGGAGTGGTAAGTGAAAAAACCTGCCAACTTTGGTTCAGAAGGCTCCGCGAAGGAAACTACAACCTCGAAGATGGACGCCCAACGAAAGTTAATTTCGAACGTTTGGAGCTGTTACTTCAAGACTTTCCGCATGCAAGCGCCATGGAGCTGGCAAAGGAGATGCACTGCTTCAACATGGCCACAGGTCGTGTTCATCACATGCTGGAAAAAGTTGAGAAACTTGGTCGATTGATCCCTCATGAGCTGACAGAGCATTGCAAGAAAAGAGGTATCGGGGTGTGCGGAGGTTTTCTTGCAAGGAGTCGCCGTTTCGACTGGTTGGATAATGTAATTACTGGAGATGAAAGGTGGGGGCTCTACCTATGTCATACCAGAAGAAGACAGTGAATGGGTGCGAACCAGAAGCCAGAGCCTGTTCCAAAGCAGGAGGTTCATCCCAAGAAAGTTCCTCTGTCAGTTTGGTGGAGAGTTCGGGGAACACGTCATTACGAGATGCCAGACAATACCATCGTCGACGCCGAGGTGTACTGCTCACAACCACGAAGGCTCGCAGTTGAAGTCGCGAAACTTCGCCCTGAGATGGACGAAGTTTTTCTTCTTCATGACAACGCGTGACCCCATGTTGCAAGGGTAACCCAGGACACATTGGCGGAACTTGGATCTGCGGTTTTACCCCATCCTCCATATTCGCCAGGTCTTGCGCCTACGGATTACCACCCACTCCTTTCCCTGGCTCACTTCTCAAAGGATAAAAACTACGACAACTTTCAATAGTTGAAAGCGGACATGGGCACGGGTCAAATCCGCCATTACTTTCGTTGTGACCTAATAGATTGCAGGAGGTGTATCCTTTGATCTAAATTGCAGGTGGACCGTACTCTTGGTAGGTGCCACCTTATCTCCGTTAGGTAAGTTTCTCCTTCTTCGACCTTATCTTTATTACGTTCTCACGTTCTCTTTCAAATCTATAAGGCCATTAGGTATTCTGAACAAGAAGGCAGAACTTCACGATAATCTCGCACATGATCGCAGCCACAAAATAATGGCTAATGTTGTGAAGGGATTATAAGTGTCATACTCACTGGTTCCGTGAGATAATATCCATCCAATAAGTGCTTACCCAAATATAGAGGCACCTTTGCGACTTCGTTATCATAAACGACATTGGCGACTGAAAGCAAATTTTCTTGAGAGAGATAGCCTTTTCTGCATAGTGGAGCGTAGGATAGGAGCCGCACCTGTGGGACCGTTTCTACGAGAATGTTCTACTCAGGTAACATCATAGTGGTATTCAATAGCGTGGCGCATGATTGCTCTGTCGCGGTTCCAAGACGATTGCCCACCCAATCATACAGCAAAGTACATCAAAGTGCTCCAGAACTCCCATGGCTCTCCCCAGGCACATCACTTTACGGGATCATCTCCGATACCATGTCGTCTTCCACCAGCACAGCTTTTGCCTCCTAACACAACCCAAGAGAGGATTTGAGTCACAATAAGCGTTAGCGTGCCGAGGCAAACCGCCCATCGGTCCAGGCCTCCCCGCATTAATAACTGAGGGCCCAAGCTCGACTACGACCACAAAAGAGCACACAAACGTGATTGAGGCTCAGTCGAGCCCCATTCATCGCACCTCCAAAACGTAATCCAACACTACCTACAGTAAACGTATCGAAACTCGGCTTATAGACATTCAGGTTCCTGACATCGATGCCTTCCCGCAGGGCCGGAAAACGCCAGGCCTTCGCGTCATTGGACTGTAGAGTGTCACCGATAGGCGGTGACCGAAGAGAAATCGCCTTGCCGGCTACCTAAAGGCAGCTCAGAACCAGCAACGCGACAGCGTTCATCGGTTGTCTGCATTAAAAAATTTCGGCTGCAAGCGGAACAAGTTGTACAGTTGATGCACGACCATTCCATGAAGCACAGCACCGCAGCGTGCTCGAAATCACAGTGCGAAGCGCAATAGGTGATTTTCGAAGCATGCAATGTGATTGCGGCAAGTAGAAATTCTGTGACATTTGTGATTATTTTGCATATTTCTTACAAGGGAATGCTTTGAAATTCCTATGGAACTTTAAAAAAAGACCTAGGTATTTCGATAGAGTCTTGAACGCTGATTGCAAATAGGGACACTATAACTGCTACGTGAACTTTCTTTGAAAGTTATGAGCCTTCAAAGTTGGCAAGAAGCGGACGCCATTTCATGAGGACAGCTAAGCGCTGACGAGGCAGGTGGCGGCGGCGCAGTGGTAGAGCTCTCGCTCTGCAAGGCGGCTGGTCGTGGGTTTGCTCCCGACAGGGGCGAAGGTTTCTCACACTGTTTTTCCATCCAGCAAGGGCTGTTATTCTGATATGACTTCTATTCCATTAGTATTTGGTAACGACTCCGATTTGCGCTTGTCATCTACGTTTCTCGAAGGTGGTAGCTATCTATGAAGTATTTATTTATTTTGCACATCGAGGGAATAAGATAACAACTTCAAACAGTTACAAATGGAGACCTCACTCCACACTGATGAAGCGACGTAAAAAAATGTGAGAAGCAGACGTGTTGTTCGCAAATTGCGCACTTATTGATGCTGCCTCACACAGCTATTGATAAATCAATCGACTCCCGCGTGAAACATTTGAACTACCCGCTCGCATAAGGCGCCTATTTGAATGAATGAAAAAATTGGAATAACAGCACCTAGTAGGTACGAAAAACAATGTGCAAAAAATTTGTATTCGGTCGGGAGCAAACCCACAATAAAATAACCACCGCCGCTACCACGGCTCCCCAGTGATTAGCTGTTCTCATGGGATGGCTCCCGTTTTCTGCCAACTTTGAAGGCTCACAACTTTCTTAGAAAGTTCACGTAGCAGTTTTAGTGTCCCTATTTGCAATCAGCGTTCAAGACTCTATCGATGTACCTAGGTCTTCTTTCAAAGTTCCATGGGAAGTTCAAAGCATTCCCTTATTAGGTGCTCAGGCTAGCCAGGGGCTAAGAATGGACAGATAGGTGGGCAAATCTCGTAATCGAGTGTAAAATGCTTTTAAATTCCTTCACGGGGAAAGTGAATAAATGCTCTCTTTCGTAACCACTATTTGTCGTTCTGATCGAAATCCTACTGTTATATGTTTAGATAATCTTTACGCATTGGACATTGCAGAAATTATTTTGTGACATTCATGTTTTTGTTCATTTACAAAACAAAATCTGCGGTTATGTGGTGAGGCGGCGGCGCCCACAAAATCGCGTCCGTCCCACGCGACCGAAAAGTGGAAAAGGGGCGTCGTGAATGTGTTAAGAGAATAATGATTCAACACTACTAACTTTTCAACCATATTGACCATAGAAATTAAACCATATTTCATCAATCGTGAGCATTTTTCATGTCCAGTACAAGCGTCTTTCACGTGCTCTCAGATTTTTAATTATTTCGTTAACCCACCTAGACCGTGATGTCCAGGGTGTTTACCAGTAGCCATAGTAAAATGATTAGGAAACGTCAACGTGGGGAAGCTTGAGAAGACTCTCTGAATCAAAGAAGATCGTTATCGAACTGAATTATTATTCTGTTGTCATTCTACGCTCGCTATCGAGTATCGCTTGTCTGTGGAGCGACCTATTCCGCGCTCCTCATGCTCGTTATTCCTCAGTGTTTGGATGACTTCTGTATACTCTTTCGTAGTTCAAATAACTGCTGGTTTGTCGCACGTGGGTACCGTAAATTTTCAGGTGCCACAGTCAAGGTGTATATACTGAATACTTTTTTTTGTCTTTTGTGTGCTATCTGTGGCGTTTTGCCGTGGTAGGTACCTGGTTCGATTAGCCAGATTTGCTCTACAACTGAATTGCATTTGTCAATGGAGCTAGGATGTAGTGCCTCTCAAGGAACAAGTGAAAGAAGCCGTGCTGCTACGGAAACAACAAACTAAGTTCTGCCGAAGGAACAACAAGAGAAAATTACTGGCTATTACGAAATCCAGCCGCACTGCTGGCGGAAGAGGTCCTGGTGATCATGCATGAGCTACACTCACTTTATAGGGAAAGCGTAGAATGAAGTAGCCTCTCAGAATTGGATGATTATCTAAAGCAGCAGGAAGTCATTGATTTGACAGCGAGCTGACCGAAACAGTAGCAATCACCCATGACGTCACAAAAAAGATGCTTAAGAAGGTGTTTATTGTTAAATGTGCATGTTTAATCCTTTCAACGCTGGTGGTGGCAACTTCCACCATCAAATTCAGAGGTTTAAATTACCAGCGCAACAGCGTATTTCCACCAATTCTGCTAAAGTTCGCTCTAGACGAGCTTTCACTTTCAAATTTTGCTTTGCACGCCATTTTATTGTCTGTTGCTGTCAGCACTAAGTAATTTTGTGTAAGTGCAAGCAAAAAGGTCTTCGAAAGCAACTAGGTAGGCGTCAATTATTCCCAAGATATTCATACTGTCTTCAAATCGCTGACGTACGCTAACGTTGTGTAAGATTATAAACTTTCTCAACAAGCCCAAGAAATTTGGACTCCCCTCAACATATTCTTTGAAAAATGGGAGGCTGTGACAACTTTCACAGCTTCATTGTCCCCTAGTTTATGGTAGTAAAGATTCCAAATTTTGATTACAGTGTTATTTATGTGCTTCTAAGGAATATATGACAGCAGAAATAGATTTTTTCTCGCGAAAAAACGCAAAGCGGGAAGGGGTTATGTCTAGAGCTTCACCGCCACCACACTCGCACACATGGGAAGCATGGAAATCGCTCAGCCACGCATATTCCAGAGTTTTAGAGATTATCCGTTACCAGTAAGGGGGCATTCATAGAACAGGGTGCTCTACCTGTCATAGCCTACTGATATCGAAGGAGTTCCTTGTTGCTGCTTGCTGAATTTTCTATCACACTCTACCTCTAGCAGTGACTTCAGAGCCATGTAAAATGACCAAAAGTACGCACAGCGTGCTTGATCTAGCGGTTTGCACATTATAACAACAAATGCGCTATCATCTGCTCTTTATTTCTTTCCCTTGACTCGATATAGAAACCACATCGAAAATAATACCATAATAATGATAAAACCAGACCATTTTTCCAGTATTGTTAACGATTGCTTTGTCGAATCAGCTCGTTGTCTCAAAAGAGAATCCATGATACCGCCGGACAAAACTCCATCAAGCCTTTTGGGAGAATCGTCACTGGTTTTGGAAGCAAATTGGAGCTGAATGCACATATGCTGGAGAACATATCGATGATTGACTGACCCATTGACGTAGACGTGGCATCCCACCTCAGAGGCAAGGGTAATGAAAGGGGGAAACCCTTCAATGTCGAGGTTTCGCTCCGATGTGATGCTTTTTTCAACAGCTACTAATCTTTGGCTTCCATGAATACAAAAACTGCCTTAAGAGTAAGTACTCCATCATACTCATCGACGTTGCTCCAACTTATCCTGCTTTCTTCGCTCTATTTTGAATATTTATGTCGCACAATGAAGAATAGTAAGGACTTCTGATACGGGCTAAAAAAATTTCCAAGTGGAATGGCTTACAGTGAAGGAATCAATCTCGCAAGTATGAAGAAAGCGTCATTAACTGATTTTATGTTTTTACATCGTTTCGAACATTGCGCCAAAAACGAAAGCCACAATATTATGTATCAACTTAATCTAACAGCTATTTGAGTGACAATTGAAAATTTTTGTCATTATTATGCAAAAGATGATCGACCGATGTGCATAGCGCACACGAAATCATCTAATTACCTTTGTGATCGAGACTTATTTGATAGCAGGTTCTACCGCACAGAAGCAACTAACTCCTCCTTGCTATTCAAAGGTGCTATGAAAACAGTTGAAAACAAATCGCACCTCCGAAGTCACTCCACACTTCGCGATTCTATCGAATGATGGTTGGAGTTTCCTATCCAAATAATAATGTGCGTAACCATCGAGTGATACTATAACGAGCGGGGGATGAGGTTTCAGAAGACTGAAAAGGAGACGACACTAATCTCAACGACTTTCCGGCAAGTACTGGTTCCCTCACTCTGGAAACGAATAGTGAACACGACGCAGAACTTATGAACAATCCTATACACCTGCCTTTATCTGGTTGATGGGAAGCAAGAAAAATCTCTGCTGAGGGCAAATTGGCAATTTCCCGAGCAAGCACAAACTTTATAAAAAGATTAGTGGTAGCATACGACACCCACTTCATTTGATATTATAAAAAGGTGAAATGAAACACTGTAGTTACGAATGTAATATAATACTTTATTGACCAAATAAGCATTCAACTCACTTTGGTTTCGAGCATTTCCGTGAGCACTCGTTACTGTGGGTGGTGGTGGAAGCAAGTAGGAAGTATGCAATCATTGCGCTTGCTACGATAATGATTAACAAAACTGAAAAGTTTGCTACCCCAGTAAACACGCTCACGATCTCCAATTATTCAGTACCACTAAATTTATGTGTAAGTGAGTGAAAAATAGACCTGGAACAATCAACGGCTCTTCTGAATTTGATTTTGCCACTGTTGTGAAGAACTTAGCATTCACCTTTTCGAAGCGACGTACATTATACGAAGTTATACGAGCTTTTTCGAAGCGACGTACTTTTTTTCTTACCTGCCAATATAACGAGATTCATTACTCTGGTGCGGTGCCGTCTGGAGGTGCTACTGCTGGATGTCTGCAAAATAAAACTATTTACTTTTTGCGGTGGTTTTTTATGGAGAGTTAGTACAATCAGGAACAAAGCCTTGATAGTGTCCTTGTCCTTCCCACTTTTCTCTCCACACGCTTGGAAGAGAAACAAATATCGATTCGAAAAGTAGGTTGCTCCTACAAAGGCGTATGAATTAAGAAAGAACTTCGATATTATTAGATAAATATAGACAGCGACCTCCGATTAACTGATAGAAGAAGTCGATTGAATAATAAAAACCATGCTTTCGTCTCTAAGGGACGAAGATTACATGGATGGAAATTTACAGTAGATTGCTGGCATGAAATTCGATTCTAAATGCTGTCAAAAATGCGAGGAAGAAAAATTTATCACTGTCGGTTCAAATTTATGCGATTTTGGCGGGATTGCGTTTCTTTCTGGGAATGAACACTTATGTAGGACAAAGTAATAGATACGGGAATTTTACAAATGAAATCGGAGGTTAAACCGTATGTCAACCTCTACCACATATTCACACGATCCAACAAATAACAGCGTCTAGGCATAGACATGGTTGCACGCCATCTGATTCAGAGACAGTAGGAATTCGCAAACGCTCCTCTTTTACGGTGGGACACAGGGTTTCCTGCGAAACTCTACTCAGCTTTGTTCGAAGACTTCATCATAGCAGCTGGGTGCGTTTGCTAGGGCAAGTTCCACTGTTTTGCAATGACTTATGGGTGGACTTCGGTGAGACCCAGGAGAAAGTTAGGAACATTAGCACTGCACACTAGTTTTGAGTTTCCATTTTTGTAACCCGATTGTCAGATGAATGGGTCGGGGCTGTTTTTGAGATGATTCTTCGTCCACAGCATTATCCTTTCCAGATGTCCCTGAAGTAGTCCTGAGTATGCGGTCAAAAGTGAGATACTGGCTGAACTTTGGAAGAAGTTGGGGCTGTGCATCAAACCAAGAAAGGAAGCTGAATCTAAAGACAAACTGGTTTTTGAAGAACAGGAAGAAGAACACTGTTCATCCACCTGTTTGCATGATTTCGACATTACACTGAACGTCGAACTTGTATGATAGGTCAACCCTAGGATAATTGGCAAGAACGATGTAGCATAGATGGATGGCCCACTTTTTCGAGGTTTCTAGGTCTACAAATTGGCCTCCAGCAGTACTTCGACTCTCTGAGTACGGGCATCACATTGTTTCGCTCGAAAACAGCTGAAAAGCGCGCACGCTCTGGTGTGCCTCAACTTTTTCTGAGGCCGAGCAAGCTATAAAAATTCCTGTCATAAACTCAAATATTCCATCAAAAATTTTGATCAATAATGAAGTAATCCAGTACACTGCTGCTAAGTAACCAGCCAGCTCGAACCATCAGCTCATCAGCTGGCGCTCGGTCATGCGGCATCGTTCGACCATTTTTTATAATTAAGCTAATTAAGCTGAAAATATGTTTTGTTTAGTCTATCGCACTAGCAAAATCTAATCGTGCACAGGAAGTATTGCTGCTGTACTGAACCGCAATCTGATCTGCAGGCCGTGTGTGCGACAGTGCGTGGGCCCTCTCGTCTACACATCTCCGCTCTGATGGAATTTTTGAAATACATGTTGATTGAAAAGATAGTCGTTTATTTCAATTGAAAGAATATAGACACATATTGATTGTACAGGGTGTCACAATTTATTCGTGCCGATATTCAGAAACTCAAGCAAAATTCCCGATTATGG